GCTCAGGCTGGTTTCGAACTCCTGAGCTCAAACAATCCGCCCGCCTCGGCCTCCCAGAGAGCTAGGATTACAGGCATGAGCCACCGCGCCCAGCCTTTTGCAAGCATCTTAAGTGATATTTCATTTTATTTTATTCGAGACGAGGTTTTGTTTCATCACCGAGGCTGCAGTGTAGTGGCATGATCATAGCTCACTGCAGCCCTCAAATCCTGGGCTCAAGCAATCTTCCTGCCTCAGCTTCGGAGTACCTGGAACTACAGGCGCAGGCTACCACACCAGCTACTGTTTTGCTGTTTTTTTGTAGGCAGGATCTCGCTGTGTTGCCCATGCTGGTCTCCAACATCCAGCCTCAAGCTAGCCTCCATCCTAGGCCTCCCAAAATGCTGAGATTACAGGGCTGAGCCATGCGCCAGGCCTCCAGTGATATTTCAGATTCTAGGAAGATTCCCAGCATCACAGACTCTGAACTAACACGTTTCGAAACACCGGGCGATGAGTTGCACACAGTACCCCCAGAAATTTGATTAAGCCCCTTCTAAGAAACGAAGCCCCTCCTCTGTACTTGGACCTGGTGTCGCAATTCCCCAGCGTCCCTCACGGTGGCGCTTCGCCCTTTCTCCTGGAAGCCTGACGGGGTCGACCTCGCCCACGCACTGTGCATCTCCAGGAACTACATTACCCAGAATGCTCTCCGCGGAGCGGAATTGTCGTTAGCCAATGAAGCCTTAGAGCCTTTTGCTCCTGCAAAAGCTCACGTAACGTCCGTTCCGGACTTCCGGTGTCCCTCTTGCTACGGCCGTTTTAGCCTGTCTTGGGTGCATTACCCTGCGTGAGGTCTGTACCGATGTGACAGGATCGAAAAAGTGCAGGAGGAGTGGTTGTGCTTGTTATGCAGAGGCGGGTCTTAGGCGGGTCTGGTGAGGCCGCCAGGCGTGACCCGCGACAGGCGGGGCTAGGGACCGCCGTGACCCGTCCCTCCCAGAGTCCGATGGCGGCGGCGGAGCCCAGGGAGCCAGCTCAGGTAAGTGCCGCGTCATCCGGGCCTCACCCGCCCTCACCGGACTCAGAGAGTAAGGCCCATTGAGGAGCGCCTGGTCGCGTCCCTGCAGCCCAGGTCTCTGCCCCCCACAGTCAGGCGCCCTTGGTGTCCATATTTTTGCCATGAAATGGGATGCGGTGTGGGAGAGTGTGACAACCAGAGGGACCGGCACGTGCAAAGGCTCGGAGGTGCGACTGAACTGGGAGGATTGGTAACTCGGGGACGTTTTGTGTCTTCTGGGAACAGAGATTGTGAGGCAGAGTTACTCTTGCAGCAGCATGCTGGAGGTTGCACTTGCATTTGTGAGAACTCCGGCAACCGTGGAGAGTTTTGAGCACAGTAGGGACTCTATACATAATGTTGGGATTTTTAAAATTTCCCAAGGGATGTTCAGAAGAAGAGAATAGAAGGAAGCGATGAAGACGTTGAGGCATTG